TGTGTGTGTGTGTGTGTGTGTGTGTGTGTGTGTGTGTAACATTGGGGAATGCACTACAAGTCCCACCTGCAAGAGGTTTCTGGTCTTCCTGTAACTCTGAGGCCTAAGGAAGGATAAGACATGAGAGGACAGTACAAGAAACGATTGTTGGCTGAGCCAGATCAGCTCCGGCAGGGACAAAGCCTCCAGAGACAGCCAAGCAGTCTAACCCAGAGAGGTCAGCCAAGCTAGGAAGGTGCTGGCAGGTTCAAGCAAGATCAGCCTGAGGCAGAAAAGCCAGGCTTGGAGTTATAGGAACAACATTCTTGTTAAATACTAAGAACAGGTGAGACTCTTGGTCAACCACAGGAGGTCAGCTGGGGTTGAGTGGCAGGATCCTGAAGGTAGATGTACTACTAGGGTGAGGAAGGGCGGAAGAAAACAGACCCTGCTCTGCAAAGCAATCCAAAGGCCAGGTGGGCAGGGAGGCCTACCTGAAATCTCCTCTCCTGCTGTGCAGACTAAGCCACCTGCCATCCTGCCTTGTGCATAAAACAGACAGCACCTGCCTCACTCTACCTCCCTCTACCTCAGCCCCTACAAAATCCTCCCAACAATTTCCAGAGTCATTCTTTCAAAGACAAACCCAATCACATTACTCTACTGCTTAAAAATCTCCAGTGGCTCTTCATTGTCTGAAAACTGCACACTCCAGCATGACTTAGAAGGTCCTCCGTACTCCTACCTTGGGCAATCTCTGCTATCCCTCAGGCACGCCACAGGATCCTTCCCTGTCTGAACCAGCCATGTCTTTTTAAAAGCTTTTTACTTACCCTGGGATGCTCTCTCCTTTATTCTTCACCCAAACTGTATTCATCCCATGGGACCTGGCTCTGAAGTGAGGCAGGTGCTGTCTGTTTTATGCACAAGGCAGGATGGCAGGTGGCTTAGTCTGCACAGCAGACTCCCCTCAATTCAGTCCCAGTCATGCCCATTTCCTCTTGACTCTTTCTATATAGTTCCACTGCTCTGCTGTGCATTTTAGTTACAAGCATATGTATACTGCTAGCTTTACCTCCCAATATGCATCGCTAATACTCAGTAAACACTGAAGGAAGAAACAACCGAAAGAACTACTAAATTGGGTTAGTCCATTCAAGTAGGCAATAGCTATGTGACAAACCAACGGAAGTGAGCATACATGCCCCACGGTGATGGGAAGTCCAGGCAGGTGGGGACCCTAAGAAGGGCAGCAGGTAGACACGACTCAGCTGGCAATCCTCCTGGGGCAGCGTTTCCTTCCTGCCAGGCCCAGACAAGCAGCATTCTGACTGAGGCTGTAAATGGCTACATATCCAAATCATAGAATCAACCAGAGAAGGCCCAACTCAGTTAATGAAGTTTTAGCTAAATTATAGCTTTGATGTCCTTAGGTTTTTATTATTTTTAATGATTGACAGCATGCTGTGTGCTCTCCAAAAGCAGTACAAAGCAGTTAAAAAGGTGACTCATGGGGGCTGGGGTTGTGGCTCAGTGGTAGAGCACTTGGCTCACATGTGTGAGGCACAGGGTTCGAACCTCAGTACTGCATATAAATAAATGAAGAAAATAAAGGCCCATCAACAACTAAAAAAATATTTAAAAATCAGAAGTGACTCATAGTCTGGGGCTGGGGCCCAGCATGTGCACAAAGCCCTTGGTTCAATCCCCCTCACCCCAACAAAGAGTGTAACTCAGGAGTTACAGAGGTCTGGAATGAACCCTTGTAGTAAGACTCCACACGTGCTTTATCTTAGATTAATTTCTTATCCATAACATAGAGTGAATTATAGTATTTTTCTTTTTTTTAAAGAGAGAGGAGAGAGAGAGAGAGAAAGAGAAAGAGAGAGAGAGAGAGAGAATTTTTAATATTTATTTTTTAGTTCTCGGCGGACACAACATCTTTGTTGGTATGTGGTGCTGAGGATCAAACCCGGGCCACACGCATGCCAGGCGAGCGCGCTACCGCTTGAGCCACATCCTCAGCCCCCTGTAGTATCAACATATACATTTCTTATAGGGTTATGAAAAGTTAAAAGGAAAATGTATGTTCAAGGCTGAGCATTATGCCGGACACAGGTAGGTACAAAGCTATCGTTGCCATTATCATTTATTATTGTTATAGATAAAAGTTCCCTGTTCCAGACGTCCTTGTGCGAGCCCTCCTGTCTGTCAGATACTCCAGGGAATAGGAGGCAAAGGTGGAATGAACTGTGGGTGCCCTGTCCAACAGGCCAGTGTCTCAAGTACCCAGACTCCACAGGAAATGGCTCTATAAGACAAAATGAATTTTTCTGAAATATAAATTAGTGTAAAAGACCTTTTGAATTAGGTGAAAGTTTTGAGATGAACCTGGGAGGACATACAACTCTGGACAAGGCACTGATAAGAGCCTTATGGAAGTAAGCAAGGGCTAAGGATCATAAGTCACATGAAGCTGGGCTGTCACTCCTGCAGAGACATAGCATGTGCTCCTTAGGCAGATAAGGGATCTTGTCTGCACAACAACTCAGTTGGATAAACATTTACTGAGTGGCCACTGCCTGTTGTGAGCCAGACACCAACTACTGACTCAGAAAGTCTGACTGCAGACAGAGTCCTCAGCTAGGTATGGGCACTACCAGGTGTGCAGCAAAGCCCCTGGGGCTGGAGAAGTACCAAGGCCACAGATGAACAGTCTCAGAGATGACAGGAAGACTTGACAAAACAATGTGCTAAAAGGTAGGCAGGCAGGCAGAGAGACAGGGTGGGACACACACACACATACACAGAAGGAATACACAATCAACATGAGAACAAACGGATTCCAGGTAGTTCCCAGACCCCTTGAGCTTCATTACAAAAGGCTTAAACCTGAAGCATGAAGGACAGAGAGGAAGGGGGAACAATGATCCGGGTGTAAGACTGGGAACTAAATAAAAACAGAGATCTCCACTGTTACAAACTGGCTGCCAAAATGTGCTTAGTGTTTATTTCTATTTTGTAAATCAGGTTTACAAAAGACACCAGTCCACATCCTGTGCACATCATTCCTCGACCAGACTCCTTAGACTCTTCTCTTAATCAAGCAAAACACTCAACACTTGCTGATTTTATATGCTCAAAATGTTAGTAGCAGTTAAAATCCAATTTTCACCTTGGATTCCTAGAATGTTTTATTTGGTTGGATAAAAATAAATCATTTCTCTCCACTGGGCCTCCAATAAGGTACAAGGTTTTCATTACATGATTCAGGCTGCTTTATCCCGTGGCTTTGTTTTTGCAGGTCCACAGCCAAGAGCAGCACAAGCCATCCAAATCGATGAAATAAATGGCAGCGTAGGTGGTACCACAACACTGTGTGTTCGCCTCAAAACTGGGTCTGCACAGTATAAGAATGGGCTACAAGGGATGAAGTCATGATTACAAGACAGAAAGTTTTACATAAGTCCCTTTGCTTATTTAAATATGAAAAGGTGTCCCTGTACATTCAGAAGTGCCACCTGCCAAAGAGGGATCTCTTTAGCCCTACTCACATCTCTTACCTAAGAGGTCACAGAACACCACTAGGTCTCGTTTGGACCTAGAGGAAAAGAAGGTGGGACAGAAGATCACACCAGGAAGAATGACATGGGATGTTCTTCTCTAAGACTGGCAAATTCTACTTCTTGGTGAGACATAGTCATGTGGCTATAGACTCACTCTAATTACATTTATATGCTCAGGCTGGGATGATTTTTTACAAGTTAAAAACAAAAATAAAATTTCTCCCATGTGAGTCATCCATCACATTTTCAGAGAAAGTCTGTCTATCATTTCAGGATGTATCCTAGGTATAAACAATCCAGGAGAAATGTGTTAAATTTACAACCCAATACAAGGTTATGTCAAGTCAGAAACAGAAAAACTATCCTGTCCAACAACCAACATGTTCTAACTCCTTAAAAAGCTCACAGAACTTGGGCTTTGGTTAAGGGACACTATAACCCCCCTTTCCAGGTTCTAGCCAATGCATGACCCAGCTAGGGCAGGACAGGGAGAACAATGAAGGTTCTAGAAAGCAGGCCCTATGAGAATCAACTGAAAAAAGCAGAGCTAAGAAGACTATGTGGACATGGTGGCAGCATTGAAATCCATTCACAGGATGAAGCTTGCTGCATGATGAAGGAACTAGCAGGACAAAAGGTGACAAACCACAGGAGAGAAAACTCAACTCTTTATG